TGAGCATGGCTTTTTTTGTGTTCCAAAGGTCCTGATAAGTTGTGTTTTCGTTCACAATTGATTCAATGAATTTTTAAATTTTATTTTTAAATTTGATCTGTTACCCCGTAGCTTTTAAGCAGGGTGTTGTTTCATTTCCATGTATTTGATTTTTTTTCCCCTTGGTCTTCCTAATTTTATTGCATTGTAATCTGAAAAGATGTTTTGTAGTATTTTGATTTTAAATATACTGAGGTTTTCTTTGTGACCTCACATGGTCTGTCCTGGAGGATGTTCTGTGTGCACCTGAAAGGAAATGTATATGGTGCTATTAGTGGGTTGAGTGCTCTATATTTGTCTTTGAGGTCATGTTGGTTGATTGTGTTGTATAGTTCTTCTGTGTCTTTGTTGAATTTTTTTTCTAGTTGGTTTTTCCTTCATTAAAAGTGGCTTGTTAATATCTTGTACTGTTGTTGTGGAGTCATGGTGTGGCGCTGTGGGATAGATAACCCACTGGACCGCAAGGTCAGTTTGAACAGCAAGTTTGGAGGATCAAACTCACCAGTGGCTCCTCAGAAACCTTATTAACAGTCTCTGTAAGTTGGCAATGACTCGACATCAGTTAATGAAAACAAAACAACTATTATTGTAGAATCGTGTCTATACTCAGTTCTATTAGAGTTTGATTTATGTATTTTGAGGCTCTTTCATTTGGGGGCATAGATATTTATTATGGTTAATCTTCGTCTTCAGTCGAACCCTTAATTATGGTATAATGTCATTCTTTGGCTCTTACTTGGGTTTTTGCCTTAAAGTCTGTTTTGTTAGAGATTAGGATTGCCACTCATGCTCATTTTTGATGCAAATTTTTTTTCCATCCTTTGATTTTTTTATTTTATTTCTGTCTTTGTATGTAAGATGTGTCTCTTATTAAACATCATATTGAAGGATCCCGTTTTCCTATCTATGTGCTGCTCTCTGTCCCTTTACTGGCATTTAATCCAATTTTATCCAATGTAATTATCATTAGATCTGAATTGATTACTGTCACTTTGTTTTGTGCTTTTTAGTAATGCTGCTGGTTACTTTGCTTCACATTCTTTTTTGCACTGAGTTAATTTTGTTTGTGGGTTTTGTTTTCATTTTCTTCATTTCTGTAATGTACTTTTAAAATTTTGATGTGAAATTGTTTGCATTTTATTTGAGGCTACCTTATAATTATTTTCCTCTGTTTAAAACAGTGTGTTTTATCTTGAAATCTGTTTGACTTCTTTGTTATGTGTAAATTGTGTATCTACTGTATTCCATCTTTTTGCTTTGTAGTTGACTTCATTATACATTAATATCACTGTTTCCCTATATTTAGCCTTGTAGCTTTGTTTTTCTGTAAATACTGCTATATCTGAATTGAGTTCTGGGTGTTATTTTCATGTATATTATTCTCAGTTTATTGTCTGCTGTTGTTGGTTCTCAGTCCAGAGAGAATCTTTCATATTTTTTGTTAAGTTTGTCTTAGTTTACAACTTCCTTTAATTTTGTTATCTGAAAATAACCTAATTTCATCTGCGAAACAGCTGTGCTTGTTGATATATGATTCTTGGTTGACAGTTTTTTTCTTTGCACTTTGAGTATGCCATTCCTTTGCCTTCTTTTCTTTCGGGATCTGCCCTGTTTGGAATTTGTTCAGATTCTTGTCTGCTTTTCTTCTCATCTTTCATGATGTTATCTTCCAACATTTGTATGACAATTTTTTTTTTCCTGTGCTTTTTATTATACCTTCCAATTCTGGAATTTCGATCACCTGGATGTTATTCCTCTTCATGGTGTCCCACATAAACTCTTAGGCTTCTGAAGATTTTCTTTTTCTTTTTCTTTTTTTTTTTTTAATGTTTTATTGTGAATTATGTGATAGTTTACATGGGAGAACATTACCTTTACATTCATCCTATCGTATATCGTTACACTTCCTTGATTATAATCCCCCCTTGATGCATCATCATCCAACCAAAGGGTAAACCCTACAACCCTGCCACTCGGTCGTCAAAACACAGCCCCTCTCCCTCTCTGGGTCTAGAGACCCCAGCTGCTGCATCTCTCCATGTCATTGTCTCTGCCTCCATCTCTGGCATCACTGTTTCGCCGCTCTTCTCCCTTGATGGACTCAGGGCCTCCGCTCCTAGACTGCAGAGTTAATCACTCCCTTCCTTGCTACAGAACGTCTACCTTTACATTTCCAACCCTCACAAACAGTCCTGATAATAATTATTCACTATTTTTCACAAGAGACTTATCCACATTTCCTTTCATCAGCCCGCCTATACAGATTGGATACTTCTCAGTGGAGAGTCTATCTTCCTCCACGCCCTCTGAATCTAGATTCCTTCATGAAAGCTTGTAAGCCAGTCACTTCTTGCCATTGAAGCCTCCCCATTTTGGGTACCCAGTGACCAAGTGGCCCATCCCTGTCTACTCTGTGTATGGAGGGGGGGAGTGGGAATGTTCTTTGCTGTAAAGATTTGTTCCCTCTTTTGAGCTACTGCATCCATAGGTGTAAGTCAAGTTCATCAAATTGTATCACATTACTCTTTTTTTTTTTAACTCTTCTTTCGTCTTCTCATTGAGCTCTGGTCATCCAGTCACTGAAGCCAGGTCAAGTGGGTATTAGCTGCTAGTGTGGGTGTTCTTGAGCATATGCCCTCTCTTATCAGATGTGTGCTTCACTCTCCCCTCTCATCCTCTGTGGCTATGTCACTCACTCTGGGCCCCAAAGTCCCCAGGTTTTGCCACACTGCTGGCTAACCAGGTCTCTACCTGGGTTCACAGGAGTCTATTGAATGTTGTAGGGCTTAACTCGCAACTTTATTGCTGTTTTTACCTCACTTTCCCTTATAGGTGACGAACATGGTCACCAATCAGAGCATGTATTCCCATTGAGTCTTAGTCTTGGAAGGAGATTTGCTCCGGGGGGACCTAACCACATGCCTTGATGCCTCCTGGGTGGGCAACTTGCTTGTTCTTGTAGTAGTTTTCATTCTTTTTTCTGATTGTTCTTCTATCATACTATTCCTGAGATTCATCTTCATGCTCACTAATTCAGGCTTCCATTTCTTTTAATCGATTCCTTTGTCTTTTAAATGCATTGTCCATTTCTGAAATCTTAGTATTAATCTATTAATCTGATGGATTTCTAATTGCAGGTTTTTTATTGTTTCAAAACTTGCATTTATTTTGTCTGTTTGTCTTGTAGTGTTTCCTGAGTTCTTGTAAGTTTTTTTTTTTTTTGCAATCTCTTTGCTTCTCTTGATCCTTCTTTCAGTCTTTGTAGGTCCCTAAATATCATTCTTTTGAATTATTTCTCAATTACCTTTTCTTCCTCAGAAACATTTTTTTTTCCTTACCTGTGTCTTGGACATTTGTACCATTCTCCATTATTTCTTTGTGTGTGCTAAAATTTTCTTGTCCTTTGGGACATTGTGATGTTTTGATATTTAATTGATCTTATGTGTTGCTTTGTTCTTAGGTTATTACCATCTTTATCCTCGGGTGCAATTGCAGAGAAATGGATGCACTGTTCTTTGTATTTCCTTCTCTGCTTAAGGTTGGGTTTCACTGATATTTGCCATTATCATTGATTGGGTAAGCATAGGAACTGCTGTTGACTCTTGCCCAGTGAGTGGCTCTTCAGAGGGTATGATTGTGGCTAACCTGTCAGGTCTTATAGAGCAGAACCTCCCCCACCGCTGCCTTCACATACACATGTACACACACACACACACGAAAGCAAAATAGAATAAACAAGCCACCAACAATGAAAATAGAAAATAATAAAGGAGGAAAAAAGAATTATGAACAGACATGAACCAGAAAAAAATATATAACTAAGAAGAGAAAAGAGGGACAAAAAAAATGGAGCCATTGAAGATAAAGTAAAAGGAAGAAACAAAAATAAAAACAACCCTTAGAAAAAACAGGGAGAGGGAAGATTAAAAGAGAAACAGAATCGTAAAGATGAAGAGAGGGGAAATTAGAGACAGAAGAAAAGGAGGTGGGGACAACGCAGAGAGAGAAAGGATAACATTTAAGGGAATGGAAAGAAAAGAAGAGGAAGAAAGAATAAAGAAACAAAAGCAATGAGACAGCAAAAGGAAAAACCAACCCCATCCCAACGAAACAAAAACAGTGCAGCTGTTGGAATCAAAGAGTAGAAAACTCTGGCATTTCCTACCAACTAAGGATCTTACCAGATGGGTTTGTGAGCATGTGACAGTGGAGTTCCTTGCCTTAGATGGAAGTTCCTATCAGCCAAGGTGTTATCTATGTTCAGGGAACTCAGTCCAGAAGTAGGTCATGGAAGTCCTTGGTGGAATTTGCATCTGGGTAGAAGTTGACTAGTTAAATGCTGGTCTGGTAGCTTTTCAGGTTCTGTAGGTCCTAAGTTGAGCCCACCTGAATCCCAGCACCCAAATGGCACACAAAACAGTGCAGCTAACCTCCGCCGCATTCTGGCATAATTCTCAACCACGTGGCTCTAAACTTCAGGAGATCAGGGGCTGTTTTGAGGTAGATTAAGTTGTGCACTGATCACATCTCTGGTCACCAGGGAAGTGTGAGGGGAAAAGAAGACATAGTATTTTTACAGTCGCTTGTGTGACTCTCCTCTGACAGGTCACCATCTGTTGCCAGAGTTGTTCACAAAGGTTCAAGGTGGTCACACCATGGCTAGCCTCGTTCACCAGTCTTATTCTCTTGCCATCCCTGCTCAGCTTCTTCTCCCAGCAAGTACTCAATTTACTTCTCTGTCCTTTCTTCTAAAGTTCAGGGTTACAGAATTTTCATCTATGTCTATTTGGCCTCTTGTATCTTTGTTGTAGAGGGTCTATGTAATGTCTGCCTAGTCCGCCATCTTACTGGAAGTCCATACTACTTAATAAATTTTGAATGTACTTTGTAATTATGCTATATAACACTTTTTGTTTGTATTTGATAATTAAAGAATAAAAGTAACAGGTTAATTTTTACAGTTGGCCAGGTCTGCAGTTTTCTTGTGAGGCCTTCAGATAATACTCCTGGTGACTATTCACTTTATTTTCGGACCAATGAAAATATTCAGCGATTTAAGATATGTCCAACACCAAACAATCAGTTTATGATGGGAGGCCGATACTATAACAGGTAAGTTGTGAAAAATATTTAGTTTTGTTTTCTAAGCAAAACATATTTGATTTGTAGATAATACAGTGTGTCAGGTTGAAAATTATATAAAAGTTCTCTCTGGGTTTTCAAAATGACAAAACCTTTAATATAATAGTCATGTCTTAGTTTGGTGCCGTAAGATAAGCACTGGATTACTAACCAAAAGGTTAGTGATTCAAACTCATCTGTGTAGTAGGGTTGCTAAGAGTCAGAATTGACTCGATGGCACTTAACAACAATTAACAGTAATATCCAAATGTTTTTGAGACAGTGTCAAACATGAGTATAAATTAATAATGTAAAATTTCTTTTCTTCAAAATTAACTTTCCATATATGCTTTTTTGATTATGCACAAGCTGTTTGTTATAAAATCATTAAATCCATAAACATTGAGACATTTTATTAGGAAAAAGGATTCCTAGGAAGTCTTGGTGTGGCGCTGTAGGATAAGCATTGGACTGCTAACTGCTAGTCTGTGGTTCAGACCCATCATCTGCTCCTCAGAAATTCTATACAGGATCATTGAGTCAGAACTGACTCAATGGGACTTAAGAACAACAGAGAGCAATTTTAGTGATATACAGATGTTCAAGTTTTACCATGTAATTAGGGTTGTTCTCAAATTGTAATTATGGTTCCTATTTCTCAGCTTCAGAAGTTTTACTTGCCTTGAAACTCAAAATGAGAATTAGTCACTTAATTAGGAAAAGAACTTAATAGAGGAAGCTGTATGATAGAATGTGAGCATCCTCTTCCCCCCACTATATTCAGAAAGAAAAGGAAAGTACTATTCCTTTATATTCTTTCTGAATATAAAGGTATTCTCATAACCTATAACTCTAGAGTAGTATTGTTTTTGTCTTTGGAGGTTGACAAAATCTTGTTCTATAATATTGACATTTACTTAGTGGAATCTTTCACTACTACAGAAATAACAAGGGTAAATCAAAAGGTATTGTTATAGAGTCCTAGAAGTCATTTTAAAACAACAAAAAATCAAAGTATAACATTATTGTTTCTCAGCATATTTTCCATTTGTGTCTATACACTTCTGAAGGGACAGTGTTTCCATCTTTAACCATTCCCCAAAGAATTCTGCCCTCTTTGATTTATAGCAAGACAGTAGTTTTGGCATCCTCATGGGGCTCAAATTGTGTTCCTTCTCAGTGTTCTTTGAGTTTGGGATTTAAAAAAAAGGTTTTCAGAGTACTTTCTTGGCCTTTTCTCATCAATGTGGTTTTTATTACTCTTTAAACTACTTCATAATGAATCTTGGTGACTATTCTGTGTCCTTGGAGAAAGTTTATTAAGATAACCTTTTGGGAATCCCCAAAACCAGTTGTCATAACCATTTGAACAGACCTCTCTGTCTTGAATCCATCTTTGAGTTCTTCTCCCCTTTTCTTAAAGCATTTGATGCCTTTAAAAACTGTTGTTTTTTGTGAGTAGCATACCTGTAAACTTGTTACAAAGCCTTAGTGATTTTGGAACATGTCTGCTTGAGTTTTATTGAAGTTTAGTTATCCTGACCTCAAAATTGTTTTTTCTTTTTTCCATATTACTAAAGTATTCCTTTGTGAAGGTACCCAAATGAGAGTAGGACAAGTTCTTACTGAGAGGATTTGTCTGTAGCCTTCCAGTGATGGCAAAGTCATGTTTAAATATATTTTGTGTGAACTAAACCTATGCATGTGTGACCAGGAACCCTATTGACAATATTTTTTTACTTACCCTTGTATTCTGCATCTCAATTAGAATTTGTCTGAATGTTTGGCTTCTGAATGTGTGATGGTCCAGCAGCCTGTTTTCTGAAAACAAGACAAAACAAGTTGATGCCTTACAAATATCCACTGACTTCTGGCAAACTTTTGTCTTTAAAATACCTATTCTTGCAGTATATTAAGGGAAAGTTTCAAATTTAGGATTTAAATATGGAGGGCAATAAAATGACCTTCTGATGATAGAGAGACATATTTTTATATATTGAAAAGAATCCCTGGGGTACACAAATGATTATGCACTAAAATACTAAGGATTGATGGTTCAAATCCATCTAGAGATGGTTCAGAAGACAGACCTTCTTTCAAAAAGGTTTAAAAGGTTTCTGCTTTCAGGTCACAGCCTTGAAAATGAAATGGAGCAGTTCTCCTCTGTACACATTGGGTTGCCATGAGTTGGAATCAACTCGGACAGCAACTAACAACAACAAAATTTGTGCTAAAATACACAATTTTGTGATTTTTGTTTACCATTTTGTGTTATTTGTAATGTTTCCTGAATAAATTGGAACACTAACAGCAAGGAATAATTATTAGTACTTTGTCTCACTATCATCAAGAAGTTTTTCCTATGACCATGCGGTGAAAATCATACCTGTATGTATGGTTGCTTCTACTCTTTTCTTTCTCTATTTTTACCTGCTAGTTATATGGTTTAGAATTGTGGTGTGGTGCTTGTAGGAAAAGCATTGGACTGGTAACCACAAGGTTGGAGGTTCAAACCATCAGCCACTCCTTGGAAACCGTAAACAGTGTTGCTGTGAGTCAAACTACTTGAGGGCACTTAACAACCAGAAGTCATGGTTTATGGCCTAACTTTATCAGATTATTTTTTAAAAGCTGAATATGTAAATGTTTTAATGAAAAATTCATAATTTGCTTGCATTCATTAATTGCTAAGTAAATGTCATGCCTTTTCTTCATTCTCATCTCTCAGAAATAATGTTAAAGTTTTTTTTTTTTTAGTTTTTTTTTTTTTATGTCTTTAATCTTTTTCTCATGTATGATGACTCTTTTGAGTATGGTATTGTTGACTTGCCTCCCAGCTTGATGTGTGGGAATTTCACTTTCTAACTTGGGTACTTGATTACAAACCTGTATTGGGAACATACTGCTTTTCTAAAATAATGTAATGTGACTCTTATGGTCATGTATTTGGAAGTTCTGGACATTAAAAAACAGACTGCTAGTAATCCTTGCTAATAGGGTTCATGTTTATTTAATTTTTTTTTTAATGAAGCAAATTATGTCAATGTTAGTAATTTTTATTTAACAGCATTGGGGACATCATAGATCACTATCGAAAAGAACAGATTGTTGAAGGGTATTATCTTAAGGAACCTGTACCAATGCAGGTCAGTGATATTTTTCTTTTGGCTATAATTAGCATTTTATTTTAAAATGCATTTTGTGATATGTTTATGCATCCATTAATGTATTTAAAGTTGGATACACTTTTAAAACTACAGATGGTTCAGATTTAGAAAGTGAACTTAAAAAGAATCTCTTAGCTTTCATGTCTGGTGATTGTAGAAAATGAGGGAGTCCTTTGTGATTTTTTTGAGAATAGAAGCAGTGGTGGGAGCAGAAGACAAGTTGCATTGGGTCTAGGAGTGAATGTGTTGGAGACAAAAGAGGAGACAGCAAGGGTAAACCACAGTCAGGCTTATATCTAGGTAAGCTTGACAAAATAATTTAAAATAAAAACAAAATGATCAACTAGAAGAGGATTTACATTCAAGAGAGGTTTGTTTGTTTGATTGCTTTGGTGTCTACCTATGGTTTCCTGCTGAGAAAATCTCAGTATTGAGCATGTACTCATACTCAGGGAGAAGCCAGTAGTAAAGAGGAGAATGATGATCGAAGTAAAGGAAGGTTTAGTGACAAGATCTGTAGAAAGCAAGCAAGAATAAAATTCTCAATATAAGAGGCAAAATTGACTTTGAACAATTTGACTTGTTGAATACTAATTGCTTAATGTATAGGATCCCTGGTGGCATATAGTGGGTTATTAAGATTTTGAATCCTGGTGTGTCACTGTAGGATAAGCACTAAAATGCTCACTGCAAAGCTGCTGATTCAGACCCACCAGCTGCTCCTTGAAAACCCTATAAAGGGTCTTTATGAGTCAGAACTGACTTTATGGCACTTAACAACAAAAATGTATACTCAAGTGATTAGACTTTTTTCATAATATTTTCTGTGGTATGGTGGGGAAAGCATGTAATGGAGGTTTTAAAAAGGTACTTTAAAAGAGTAAGGAATTTTCGTATGTGGAAAATGGAAATGTGATATCCCAGGCATATAAAAGATTGGGAGAGAGGTTTTGAGGACTCAGATTAAGTTGTATGGTGACTTGTAATGTTTCTAAGTGTCTCAGTTTTTCCTTTGCCTAAAATTTTGGATGATTATAGCCACAAAAGGAGACCTGGTGGTGTAGTGGGCAAGTGCTCAGTTGCTAGCTGAAACCTTGGTGATTCAAACCCACTGGCCATTCTGCAGGAGAATAATGTAGCAGTCAGCTTCCAAGGAGTCTTGGAAACCATATTGGACAGTTTTACTCTGTCTTATGTCCTGTGGCGTTGCAGGCTAATGCATTGGACCACGGGGTTCACTGTTCAAACCTCACTGGCCACTCCTTAGGAACCCTATATAGGGTCGATTTGAGTCAGAATCAACTCAGCGACACTTAACAACAACATAAAGTTGATATAAGTCAGAATCGATTCAGTGGCACAGAAAAATGTATGTTCTAGTCATTGCAGTTGTTGCACAGGGAAATTATTATTATTATGAAGTGTTGCACAGGGAAATTATTATTATGAAGCTACATGTAAATTTCCACCACTCGTCTTTGTTTTGTCATACTGTGTGGTTTGCGTGTTGCTGTCATGGTGGTAGCTATGCCACAGGTATTTTAAATACTAGCAGGATTAACTATGATGGATATATTTTAGCTGAGCTTCTAGACTAAGACAGACTAGGAAGAAGGACACGACACGCATACTACTTATGAATGTTTAACCACTGAAAACCTTATGAATAGCAGTGGAACAACATTGTTCAATAGCAACAGGATACTGAATATTGAAACATGATGAATAGTACCAGAATAGTGTCAAGTACAGTTTGCCTCACTGTTCCTTAGATTACTGTTTGACAACTGAAGGGCCCTCAAATTGTTATTTACGGAAGGTTATATAATGCATTGAATGCTTCAAAGGGAACTGATGACAAAAAGCAGTTTGATTGCTATACAGAAGCTATATATTGATATTGTAGGCAATTATTTTGGCACAGTAGTGAGAGTAGAGTACAGTAAAAGTTAACGGAATCATAACACTCACCTTTTACTTCCCACCAAGCATTTACGTATTCAAGTAATACCCATTTTATTAATTAAAAAACCCCAAACTGATTAGATAGCATAATCCACTGACTCCCTTAACTGTGCTCAGGATCTTTAATCCGCTTATGAAAATAATTTTCACTTACAGTCCAGAGTACAGCTGTCTATTTGTATTCATCTCCTGATTCTTCTGATAATTATCAAACATCATGCTCTGTCAGTCTTTTCTCTTTACTGTTATGAACAGAAAATTTAGAGTTCTGAATTTTCAACTGTGCTCAATTAAAGCTAATAAAAAGTCAAATAAAGATGGCCTCATACTTTCTTTAGAAATACTGCTAAAAAAAATTTTTTTCTTTTAAGTAACACACTAAAAAAGCTGAAGAGTTAGATAGTAGATATGATTTATTTCACTATTGCATCAACCTCTAGGCCAAGGCTGGCAAAACTCTTTTGTAAAGAGCCACGTAATAAGTGTTTTAGCATAGATGAGCCATTCAGTTTCTGTTTCAATTATTAAAGTTTGCCTTTGTTGTTTAAAATCAGCCTTAGAGACTATACCTAAATGAGTGTTGTATGTGACTGTCTTCCAAGAAAAAATGAATGTATAAAAACGGATGACTTACCATTGTCGCTGCTCCTTGCTCTAGGCAATTCAGTCATTTTTATTATTTAGTCTTTTTTTTTTTTATTTGGGAATTGAATAGTAATGAAATAGTATGATGAAGAGATAGCAGAACATTTCAAGATATAGCAAAAATAAAGTGACTTAAAATCCCATACTGTACATTAGATTTATAAAAGAATCTAATGGCCCATGTAGATTTCAAATTAGATTGAATTTTGGACTTACAAAAAGTCTCTGAGAAAGATTAAAAGTTATAAAATGAAAATCTTTACAAATAATAAGAGCTGTTAAAAAAAACCAGTAAAAATGTAATTGGTGCAGTAGATCAATTGGTAATATTGAAGATGAACTTACTCTGCAGAGATCATTACAAAGGTATTCTTTTCTTTATGCTCTTACATAATTATTCTTTTCATTGATTTAAAAATTACCTTTGTTATATAAAATGATGTATTATAAACACAGAATTTATAAAGAAAATGGAGCCAGAGGCAAAACACAAAAACTTTACCGTGACACATAAAAAGATTGGGAGTCATTCCTGGTGCACTGTAGAATCAGCAGTGAACTGCGAACCACAAGGTCAGAAGTTCAAACCCACCAGCTGCTCCTCAGAAATCCTATACAGGGTCACTATGAATCTGAACTGACTGGATAACAACAAATACAAATACAGTACAGTTTTTTACATTTTATATAGTTGTTATTAAGTGCTGTTGAGTCGATTCCAACCCATAGTGACCCTGTATAGGGTTTTCAAGGAGCAGCTGTGGTGAGTTGAACCACCAACCTTGCAATTCAAATGACTTTGCAGTCTGATGCATTAGCCCACAGCACCACACCAGGAATCCATTGTATATAGTTAAGAATCCATAAATACTATAATATGTCATATTATCTGTTAAAAAATGTTTACATTTAGAAAGTGGCCATCAGAAGGGCTTCTGCTTACAAATTCTTGTGAAGTGGGTACAAGCTTATCTGAAATCACATGGAAAGTTGTTCTATCAATTATGGGTGTGAATGAGTGTGATTAGTATATAGGATAATTGGTAAACTGAGGGAAGTGTTAGCTAGTTGAAGAATTTTGTTTATTTTCAGTTGCATCTGCTCAGCATTCACCTAGTGATTTTCACAAATTCATTGTGCAAAAGCAAGCATGAATTTGCTTATTATGTCTATTAGATTTGGACAAATTCACATTTTCTAAACATTATTTACTATAAAATATAACTAAACTGAGCTTATTTGTAGTCTGTAGTTTTGGAAATTATTCTCATCAAGAGTTCATGAAATAATTTTGATACTTATTTTAAATTCAGGATCAAGAGCAAGTTCTCAATGATGCAGTAGATGGCAAGGAAATCTATAATACAATTCGTCGTAAAACAAAGGATGCCTTTTATAAAAATATTGTAAAAAAGGGTTATCTTCTAAAAAAGGGTAAGTGTTAGCTTTTATGACTAATAATTCAATTATTGTATTTTATAATTAAATTTAATAGACATTGTAAATATTGAGCATAAAATTTATTTTTATATGTATTAAGTTGTTTTGATGTGAATTATTATAGATTGACACTTGTATAGAACTTTAAGTGTAGTTCAAAATCTAGAGTCTAGGTATAAATTATGTTCACAGTGTTACCTAGGATTTTAAGCCTTATGTGTTTCCAATTATGTTAGTACCAGTGCATGTTAACTTGATATTTTCCCCTTGCCTCCAGCAGATTTTAAAAGAGATTCCTTGTGATTCTTAGAACATTCATAGTACTGATACTTTTATTTTATAAACTTACTTAGTGTGGCATTAAGATACACTGAGTTGAACAGGATTAGTAGAAGATTTTTTTTTCTTAAAATTGGGAAGGAATTTTTCAAGATATTGTTAGGTGTCCTCATCATTTATCCTGTACTGTAATTCATTAAAACAACAATATAAAAACAAAAATCGTACAGGTAAGTGAAAGGCATTTTTCCATTATATAAAGATTGTTGAATGGTTTATACTTTGTATTAAAAATTAAAATCATATAATTTTTTTTTCATTAAAGATAATTTTTTGATCCTAATATATATGATTTCACAGTTTAATGTTTAGCTTTTTTTTTAAACAGGCAAAGGAAAACGGTGGAAAAATTTATATTTTATCTTAGAAGGCAGTGATGCCCAACTTATTTATTTTGAAAGTGAAAAAAGAGCTACAAAACCAAAAGGATTAATAGATCTCAGTGTATGTTCTGTCTATGTTGTTCATGATAGTCTTTTTGGCAGGTAAGCAGTTGGTTTTTTCTGTCTGCTTTGGGATGGTTTTAATAATAAAAATCATATGTTCAGATTATTTCATGCTATAGCAAACCAATGATAAGAGTCAGCAAAAAATTGTGTTGGCCACGTTTGGCCTTTTTCAGCTTCACAAGGAGACAGGAGGAGAATCACCGACATGAATGAGCCCAAGGCTAATTCCTATCAGGCAGAAGACAAACATGCCTCCACCCTCCAGTCTTTTTTAAATATATTCTAACACCAACTATCCCTTCCAAAATACTACTTCTCTGCTGGATTTGCTAATCCCTTGTAATGGCCCCACAGAACTCACAGACAATACTCACAATTAATAGGGTTTATTAGGGAAGTTAACAGGGTAAATACAGGATTAGAAACAACTCACGATATAGCATTTGTCTGGTCAGTAGCTGCTCAGTCATACTGCATGCACAACTGTCTTTTTGTCGGCTTCAGGCATGTAGCCTCTTGGCATCTGCTCTGTTCACGCAAGTGATACAAGCTCTTTTAGCAGTGTGGGTAAATGTCCAAAGGGCCTATTCTCTACTCTGCAAGTCAGCCTTCTGTCCAAAAGCACTCAGCTTTACTTGACTGGGCCAGGCTGGTAAGCCTCTCTTCTGTCTCCTTGTGCCACTGACTCTGCTGCCACCTCCTTTCTACTTTGAGACCTTGCACTCCACTTGTGGCTCTTTTTTCTTCATGTCCCTGAGATCGTCTGTTCCTGATTCTAAGATGGCTCCTTTTGGATCTAACTGTATTGCAAAAATAATCAGTCCCCACTTTAGAGTCCTATACACCCCATTTGCATGAGTCCACCCAGTCATTTAGAGTCCTGGTGAGGCACTGTAGGAGAAGCACTGGATTTCTAATCAGCTGCTCCCCAGGATTTCTAATCAGCTGCTCCCCAGAAACCCAATACATGGCTGCTATGAGTTGGAACTGATTTGATGGCGCTTAACAACAACAATGCAAGCCTTTTGAATCCTGATGTGACATTGTAGGATAAGCACTGGATTGATAACAACAGGATGGGTGGTTCAAACCCACCAACTAAGCCTTGAAAACACCCTATACTATGTCTCTATAAGTCAGAACCAGCTTGGCATCACTTAACAACAACTACCTAATCATTTGATGATAATTACAAAGACCATGTTTACAGGTCAGTGGGAGACAGACCAGACTGTAACAATGACAGGAGAATGGGCCTAGGCTGCTGGGATCAGAAACACTACCTGATGGTACCGTGGTTAAGCACTTGACTGATGGCAATTCTAACCCACCCATCGGCTTTTCAGGAGGAAATACCTGGCAGTCTGCACCGTGGAGTTGGTTCCGACTCATAGCGACCTTGTACAGGGTTTCCGAGGCTGTAAATCTTTATGGGAGCAGAACGCCTCATCTTTCTCCCATGGAACTGCTGGTAGTTTTGAACTGCTGACCTTGAGGTTGGCAGACCGACTTGTAACCATTACACTACCAGAGCTCCTTACAGCCTAGGAAATTCTATGGGGC